CAATGACACTTGTACCTCATGCTACATGAGAAGGGATTTGGAGGACTGAAGAGATACGGTCCTCGTTTTCTTGGCTGAATTTGAGTAGTTAGGAACAACTGTTGAGTGAATCACATGCTAACAGCAGAGTCCAAAAAGGAACAGCCTGTGGGTTCCTGGCTGACATGCCTGTGCCATCCCCGGGCCCTGCGTGTACTTCTAGTGACACTTCTACCTTCTGTCTGTGAATTTCTCAGTATTTTTTCAAGAACATTCCTCTTCTTAAAATATAAATTAGCTCACTAATCCAATTACTGTTGCCTGCGACCAAAATACATCTTAAATGACCCTGGAATAATTGAATACATCAGCCAAACAAAAAACCAACAGACAAGCACTGCCATGGAGTCGATGCCGACTCAAGGCGGTCTTGGAGGACAGTGAGTAGAACCGTCCCTTTGCGTTTCCAGGACCGTAACTGTTCAGGGAAAGCCCGTCTTTCTCCCGCAGAGCGGCTGGTCACTTCGAACTGCCGACCCCATGGCTCACAGCCCAGCGCATAACCAGCTGCTGCCGTGGTTCCAGCCGCACTGGTAGTCTGGTGGTGGTGGAGCTGGTTGTTCGCACTATCAAGAGTCCCACCAACACCCCACTTCTGGAGAGTCTTCTCTAGGGATCAGATGGAAAACATACCCGTCTCTCTGCCCCACCGCCTGTGGTGCACAGAACACGCTCACGAACAAGGAGGGCTTGTTCCTCATGGGAAGCCTACCCTTTGAGGAGGGTGTGCTGTGCTGGAGGAAGTCCTGAGTGCAGAGCCGGATAAAAAGAAATTTTTGAATTTAATGGTAAGGAAATATAGGCAGGCCACGTATTTTGCTATGGTTTCGTGTCGTTGTTAGTGACGTTGAGTCCTGAGCAATTACACAATGGCAGATTACCGGTGACACACTGTGTCTGGCCAAGCTCGTAAGTCTCTTGATCGAGGTTTCTCGGCCCTGCCTTCTGTTTGACATGGGGGCCTCTGATGCCTCTGGTGAAGGAGTGCGGCCCCGGCTTGGTGGGGTGGTCAGCAGCAAGTCTAGCCTCTCCTCACTCGATGCCCACAGCCGGGCCCTCTGTCCCAGGAGTGTGACAGCCAGAGTATCTCCAGACGTTGTCAAGTATCTCTTGGGCTTCCAAGCAACTGTCTGTCTGTTTAAGATTAGTTGAGTTCTTTTCTCTCTGATTCATTTACTAAGCCTATCCAATGCCCAAAGCACCTATGTAGGTATACTGGTCACACCTGTTGTAGGTATGAGTCCTTTCCGAATCCTAGTGATCATACTAGGTTCAACAGGCTGAAACAGTGCCCAGTCCCTGGGCCATCTTCCCCATGGAGCCCATTATGGGCAGCCATGGGGCCGGTCCATCTTGTCGAGGGTCTACTTCTTTTTGCTGGCCCTCTACTTGACAAGCACAATGTCCTTCTCCAGGGTCTGGTCGCTCATGTCCAAAGTGCGAGATGAAGTCTAGCCATCCTTATCCCCCAGGAGCATTCCGGTTGTACATCTTCCACGATAGATTTGTTTGTTCTTTCAGCAGCCCATGGCACTTTCCAGATTCCTCACCAGCACCATAATTCAAATGGATCAATTGCCCTTCAAACCTAGTAGCATATACTTGATTCAGCTGATCATGAATCCTTCTCACCACCAAAGTTTTGTTTGAAATATGTTGTAACCGTGTATGTATTGTATGTACAGATTTCCCAGGCATAATGCAAATATTAGGTAGCAACATAAGAAATTGCCCTGGTGTGAGTTAAAGGAGAAAAAGGTGACTTGTCATTTCCAGGTGGTTCCACCAAACATAGGACGTTTACTAACAGGAAATGATCTGAGGGACACCAGAGGAGTGGAATTTTAGATGGACCCAAGCAAAAGTGTATCTTGCTTTCCTTTGCAAGCAGGGCCGGTTCTGGAAACTGCACACAGGCAGGTGTGAGGTGTGGCAATCTGGCTGGAGTCCGTGAGGCTGAAGGCAGGTGGTTCCACTGC